TCAATGAGGGCTTTGTGAAATGATCATATTAAATCTCCTGTTTATGCTTGTTTTTTCTTCCACTCCTCTTTTGAAAATATACATTTTGATTATGAATATTCATTCTTTGAGATTTCATTATATTATCTCCTCCTCGAGTCCCTAACTTCCAGTGGCTGATATTATAACATGATTTTTAATCCTCTTGAGGCATCATTAAAGCACTTATACATCAGAAGGCATTGCTTATGTATTTCTATGGTCTTTAGACTGCTAGCAATCGGAGGGCACAGACTGTGCTATATTTCTCTTTCAGTGTCTAGAACCCCACACAGTGCCATATATATTGCTGGTGCTCAGGGATGTGTGTTGAATTGAATGGCCCACTCCATAAGAATTCTGAGCCTTGCAACCTTCATATTCTGATGCAATATTCCTTCAGGGCATCTCACTTTTTCTCAGAACCTTGGCAGCTCAGTCTATGCTTCCTGAACTCAGTCAACTGGCATCAGATTTCTTTGAAAAGGCTATAAAGATAATATAGGCTTATATGTGAAGGACCCAGGTTAGGTAACCTATCTGAGGAGTAGGCCTTGAACACAGGAAGTATTATTGGTGGAGGTGCTGAGCAGGTTGGTCAGTGGGGAGCTTCAAAGCCTTCTGCACAGCAGAGAGACATCTTCCTGTGATGCAGAAAAATGATTCTGACCATGGTACAGGAAAAGAGGCTTAAGTTGTGCTTGAATCCCCTCCTGAACCCAGTGCAGACACATCTCCTAAATGATGTTCATTATACATACCTTCATAGGTACACTCCCTTATTTTCATTCATTTTATTCCAAGTTACATACTCGTTCTTATAGATTTTCTGTGTCCTTTCTCTTTTCTGTACTTTATCCTGCCATGGAATATGTAAACAAGAGAAATGATTCCTCATGCTTGTTAAGCAGATCCTACAGCAGTACCATAAGCCATGACACAGTAATAAAGTAATACAGATTTATTGTCCTCCTGATGATCTTATGTCACCCCCTTTACTATTTCCCAACCTGGCCATTCCAAATCTTTGCCTTTCTCCTTAAGATTCCCACTCCACTCCCTTCCTTGTTTCCACTTTCTGCTACCTCCTTCACCCTCACAATCACTCAACAGATATGTTGCTTTCTATATTACAGAGAAACCAGAAACCGTAAGGCATAAACTCCCATCTTTCTGCCCAGTTCCAAATACAATGCATCTGTAGCCATCATTCCCATTCTAGTGGAAGATGCCCCCTCCACCCGAATCAAGGGTAATCTTCCCATCTGGATCCTGGGTCCATCACCTCTTTCCTCCTGAAGATGACCATTCATCACTTACACTGAATTGCTGTGTTTTATATCCAACTGCTTACTTAATAACTCCACTTTGGTGCTTAACATATGTCTCAAACTTAACATGAACAGAAATGAACTTTTCCCCATTGTTCAAGCCTAAAAAACCTCAGAGTCATCCTTGATTTTTCTTTTTCTCTCATATTTCACATTTAATCTTTCAGTAAATCTTCATGGCTTTTCCTTCAGAATACTTCCAGAACCACTGCTTCCACCCTGGTTCAAGCCATCTGATTCATCTCTAGCCTGGATTATTGCACTAGCCTTCCAATAATCCCCCCACTTCCATCCTTGCCTACTACACTATATTCTCTGCAGCTGGAGTGGTCTTGTTAAAACATGGCATGACAATCCTCTGCTCAAAATCCTCCAAACATGTCCCGTCTCACTCAGAGCAAAACCCAAATTTTCAGTGGCCTACAAGCTCCTATATGATCTGCATGCACTGTCTCCCTAGTCTCATCTTCTGCTCCCCTTCTCCTCACGCCCACTGCTCTAGCACACTGGCCTCCTGGCTCTTCCTTTGACATGCTGGGGATACCCATGATTCAGGCCTGTAACATCACCAGGGATCTTTTCTCTCAACATTCAGATTGATTATCATGACCCTCGTTTGGCACCAGAACCACTTAGAAAGACACAGGACTGGAGACACAGCTTGCCAGCAAGGCAGCATCAGGCTTTCCTCCTTTGGGAAGATCTTCACTATTGTCCATGCAGTGGTCCACACTGCTGCCCAGTAGTATGACCTAGTCTCTCCCTGAGACTTTCGCCCCGCATGTCATTTCCGGTGCCAGGAAAAGAGATTCACCTTAGGCAGGTTCAGGATTTATCCTGGGTTAAAAGCCTTATGCCCTAAAGGAGCCAATATCTCTTGTAACTCAATAGATACACCTTCGATGTGTCAAGGGACATGCCTAGTTACAAGTGTCACCACAGTCACAGAAGTCCAGTGACACGGATGCCTACCAAGCATTTGCCCCTCTCCCAGCCCAGATGCAGTTGACCAATCAACGGTCATTTATACCACAAGCAACGTAACCTAGTAACACAGTTAACAGTTAACTTTATCAAATCTCTAGGGAAACAGAGCTAGAACACTGAGAAAGTCAAAAGTCAAATTCTTCTGCAGAGGGGACAGGGTCTCGTTAACTCTTTGTCTGTGAGCTCCCTGCTCTTGCCGCTCCCTGTCTGCATGGCTCCTTCCAGGGCATCTGCATGGCCTACTCCTGCACCTCCTTCGACTGCTTGGCCAAAAGTTACCTTACAATGAGGCCTTCCCAGGCCATCCTATTTGAAAACTGCAACTCCTATCTCACCTGCTAGGACCTTCTACCATCCTTGAATGCTTTATTTTTTTCCCACTGTCCTTATCACCTTCTAACATATTATATAATTTACTAATTGATTTTGCTTACTTTGCTCTTTTTTTTCCCCATAGAATTTAAGCTTTATAAGACTGGGATTTTTATATTTTAGTTTTTCCTACTTCGCTGATAATTCTTAGTAGAACTGCGCCTGGCACACAGTAGGTTCTTTAACAACTACAAGTATTTGTTTTATTTATAAATGAATTTATGCCCTTGCTCTCTTTCAGGCTCTAGTTTCTCACTGGCATCCTTTTTTTGGGTGAAGGTGACAAAATGCTTTCAATGACCAAACAAAAGGCAGCATGGTGTTAGGGATTAAGAACAGGGTCTTTGGAACCAAACTGCATGAGTTTAAGTAATGGCTTTGACTCTCATCTTGGGAGGTTTCCTTAACCTCTCTGTGCCCCAGGTGTTTTATTTGTAAATGAGGATAGTAATAGCACCTACACCTTAGAGTTGCCACGAGGAAGAAATGAGTAATATGCGTAAAGTGTTCAGAAGAGTGCTGGAGACATTGTGTTAAGCACTGTATGTTAACTATTATTAAAAATCAACTTTAGGGCCGGCCCGGTGGTGCACTGGAGAGTGCGCCGCTTGGGAGTGCGGCGGCGCTCCCGCCAAGGGTTCGGATCCCATGTGGAGACCGGTTCCCGCTGACTGGCTGAGCGCGGTGCGGGCACGGCACCGAGGGTTGCGATCCCGTTGCCGGTCCCCGGTATGGGCGCGACACTGAGGGTTGCGAGCCCGTTACTGGTCAGTAAAAAAGACAAAAAAAAAAAAAGGAAAAAAAAAAATCAACTTTAGGGCCGGCCCGGTGGTGCACTGGAGAGTGTGCCGCTTGGGAGCACGGAGGCGCTCCCACCGAGGGTTCGGATCCCATGTGGAGACCGGTTCCCGCTCACTGGCTTAGCGTGGTGCGGGTGCGACACCGAGGGTTGCGATCCCGTTACCAGTCAGTAAAAAAAAAAGACAAAAAGGAAAAAAAAAATCAACTTTAAAAGGCTGTTATTTCCATTCTGCACCACTTGTAGCTATTTTTGTCTCTTCCTACCTCCTCTTCCAGCTGATCTTCCTGAAAGTCACAACCACCCCACAGTCTCTACTTTAACTTCCAATCACTTTTTCAACCACTGCAAATAAGATTTCAAGTGACCTAGTTACCACTTTCCTCTCCTTAGTCCATGAGTTAGTTGTGTACAGCCTGCCATCACTGGCCACACCTGCTTTTGACTTCTGTCACTCTCCTCTTCCCTGCTTTCCACCTGTCCTTATGGCCGCCCCTTCTCAGCCTTCCTCAGAGGCTCCCCTTCCTCCTCCACTACTCTTTGATATTATTCCTGACATTATCTCACTCGCCACATTCTCCTTGGGTGACTCCATGGCATCAGCTCTCATACTAATGACACCCAGTCAGTTACCAGTTCTACTGACAGTTTCCCAAAGATGTCGCATTCTTTCTCTCCTCCATGACTTGGAGCTTTCTTTCCTCTTCCTGGCACTTTCTCCCACCTCCAGCTCCCTCTCCCTGACTAACTTCATCTGGTTCTCTAAGTAATTTAATTCAACCATCACCTTTTCTCCTGTTCCCAAACCAAGTTGAGCACCCCTCCTCTGCACCCTCTTAGTGGCCTGTGGATGCATCTGTGTACTAGGAATATAACAGAATTATTCTGAATGCTAGTCTATTTAGTTCTCCCCTAGAAATAAACTCTTATAGGTATCTATGTCCTCAAAATATGGTGCCTGGCACATAGCAAGTATGCAAAAAAAAAAGTCTGGATTCGATATATGAATACATAGCATCTATATAGAATAAATTTTGATTAGGTTATTTTCTAAATCAGAATCATTTTAAATATTGAGTAAAATAATGATATTTCATCAAAATGTTAGTTCTTCCAGAAAATTTTATCAGGGCTAAGTATAAGAGATAAAGAAAAGCAAAAAGTTCCACTTTGGTAATATAAATGGCTTTATGGATATACATTCTATATTTCACTGTAAAGCCAACTTTGAAAGATGTTAGTGACATCCAACATTACTTGAATACAGTCCACTGCTGTTGGCTCACTGAAATCTTATGAGTACCATACTGATTAGGAAAGTTCACTGAATAAGTGCTTTAGGCTCCCTTCCATGATTATAAATACCATATACAAGTAGATAAGAGCAACTAATATTTACATGATTAAAAATCACACAGCCAGCTCTTTAAAGATGTTTCGTTGACTTGATGTCTTGCTCTGACCCCCATTTTGCCATGGGCCTAGGCACCTACCTGTAAAGTACATCCAAACACACCAATCATCAGCATGGCCACCGAGAGGTAGTCGGTAAACACATCCCACCATGGCTTCAGCACCCGGAAGGCAGGCTGCTGCTCAGAGAACTGCCGGAATTCTGTCACTGGAATCATGTTTCTAAGAAAGAAGAGATTACTGGTGAGTTAACTTATCTTCAAGCACAACATACTGCATTGTTAACAGCATTTGAAATGCTGCTTTAATCCATCAGAAGTAGTGGTCTAAATGAGTCTAGAAGCTGTCCAGGCATGTCTGTTTCCACGAGCCATTGGATAAAACCACGGGTTGAGGAAATAAGGAGACCCATATGAAAAAGGCAAGTTCCTTTACTGAATCATTGTTCAATAATTAGACTCCCTTTGTGCTCCACATGAGACAGAGAGACCACGGCCAAAAGAGTTGCCACATCTCAGTTATTTCCTGGATCCTCATTTCTCTTAAATAGAACATGAAGATGCCAGAAAGAACAGAGCCCATCCTTTGAAATGTTTTTGCTATTTATCTTACCATCTTGGGTTATTGCTTTAAACTCTTTTTTAAGCGTCATTTCTGCATTCATTTGCGCTAATTCTTTACTGAGTCCTATTTGTAAAGCATTAAACAATCTTGCCACCTGGTCCTTGTCTTTTAAGAGGAAAGACCTTATTACTGGTGGTGGTGGTGGGTTAGGGAGGATTCCTTTTTCTTCTGCCTTTTTTTTTTCCTTCTTCTCTGTGCTTTTCTCTTGATTTCTTTTCTCTGTTTCCTGTGCTTCTCATATTTCACTGTGAACCTCAAACTTATCCTGATTTTCTCCTCTGAGAAATCAGATTGTCCGGGAAACTCCTAGCTCTATTGAAATGACAGAAGATAAATGAATAGGGCATATCTGAGGCTCTGGGATAAGGAAAAAAAGAGACACATCCTTTTCTTGGTCTCCATTCTTGCTCCTCATTCCCATGCCTTTACTTCCCATGCCATTACTTTCACCCAGGACTTGAGGTTAATTGCCCTGCACTGTGAGAATAAATATTCTTCCATTATCTTACAGCAAGCAATAATGGTGACCAATGAGAGCCAAAAAGAAAATTTTTCTCTTCCGTTTCACCCAGGACTTGAGGTTAATTGCCCTGCACTGTGAGAATAAATATTCTTCCATTATCTTCCAGCAAGCAATAATGGTGACCAATGAGAGCCAAAAAGAAAATTTTTCTCTTCCGCCTTCTTTAGCTCCAATAATCTAGCTCTCTACATCTGTCCTTGTTATTTAGTCCTAATTAAAGAGGCAGGGAAAAGGCTATATTTGCTGTTTGGTCTCTCAAATTTTGTTTCTTCTTTTTTTTTTTTTCCTTTTTGTCTTTTTTCGTGACCGGTAACGGGATCGCAACCCTCGGTGTCGCGCCCGTACCGCGACCAGCAACAGGATCGCAACCCTCGGTGTCGCGCCTGCACCGCGCTCAACCAGTGAGTGGACCAATCTCTATATGGGATCCAAACCCTCGGCGGGAGCGCCGCGGCACTCCCAAACACCGCACTCTACTGAGTGTGCCACCGGGTGCGCCACTGGGCCGGCCCTCAAATTTTGTTTCTTTTCTTTTCTTTTTTTTTCCTTTTTCCTTTTTGTCTTTTTTCGTGTCCGGCAACAGATCGCAACCCTCAGTGTCGCGCCCGTACTGGACTGGGACCGGCAACGGGCTCGCAACCCTCAGTGTTGCACCCGCACCTCGCTCAGCCAGTGAGCGGGAACTGGTCTGTCTGTGGGATCCGAACCCTCGGCGGGAGCGCCGCCACACTCCCAAGCGGCGCACTGTAGCAGTGCGCCACCGGGCCAGCCCCTCAAATTTTGTTTCTTTCATGGACCTTCCTTCCCTAATTCTGAATCAAGGACTAGATGGTAAACACCCCACATAAAAGCAAAGCCTCCTCTTTGAATTCATTGGTGGCTATAGCTTTGGAAACTATTATATTATCTGTTCTGTCTTGCTGCTTTATAACTTTTTCTTAAATGATAATTTGTCTTTTTTTGGATTTGTTCTTTAACACAATGCTGAAAATTTCAACTGTCTGGTGATGCTTTCACCTATGACCTACCTACTTGACATCTGTGCAGCATTCGATACAATTTCCTCATTTTAGTGAAATACACCTTTCTTAATTCCATTCTGTTACCACTAATAGGCTGCAAGCTTCTCGAGGATGGAATTTGTAAATTATGTGTATGTGTGTTCTCAAATCAGGTTGCAGGCAAACTGCACAAGCTAATTACTTTGCATATTCCTAGTGTCATTAAAATTTCAGACTAGCTCAAACTTTGATTTTCCTGATGCTTTATAACATCTTTTCTCTTCAATGAATCATTACAATCTCACTACCTCAAATGTTTTCTAGTCAGTTTCAATGGCAGACACAGAAAAGAATTAACTCATCTTAACTTCCAAGTTCCACTTCACAAGCTATTGTCTTATTCCATTTTGCATCCCCATCACTTGACATCATACCTGGAAAATAAGGGGCCCTGAACGACTCTTTGTTGAATAAATGAATGAATGAATTCAGAAGCTCATTCATGGAGCAATGCTCATTCAAGTCACATTTAGGGCGACCCTAACCAGCTGCAGTGACAGTGGTAATTAGCAAACTGCCTGTGCTGTAGTCCACTGTTCTTCGATAGGTTTGGGTGTCACATTTTTCATGATAAGTTCCTTTACTACTTGGAGGAAATTGGGCTTGTTCATTTAAGTGAGGGACAATTTCAGGAATAGAATGCACCAAAGTAGAGAATTGGTTCTCAGACTTTTTGGTCACAGGACTCCTTCATGCTATAAAACGTAATGAGGAGAACCCCAAAATGGTTACGTCAGTTATATCTATAAGTATTTACCATGTTAGAAATTAAAATCAAGAAATTTTAAAAATATACATTAATTACAACATAATAAACTCACTACATGTCAACATATATTATAAAAATAACTGTATTTTCAGAAATAAAAAATTAGTAAGAACAATGACATTGTTTTACATTTTTGCAAATCTCTTTAATGTCTGACTTAAAACAGAAGACAGCTGGATTCTCACATTTGCTTCTGCATTCAATGTATTGTGATATGTTGTTCTGATTAAAATTTATAAATCAAATATGGTCTCACAAAGATATATAATTGGTACTAGAATAAAACATAGGAGAAATGCTTCAAGACATTGGTCTGGGCAAAAATTTTATGAAGAAAACTTCAAAAGCACAGGCAACAGAAGCAAAAATAGACAAATGGGACTATGTCAAACTAAAAACCTTCTGCACAGCAAAGGAAACAATCAATAGAGTGAAGAGGCAACAAGCAGAATGCGAGAAAAGGTTTATAAACTATTAAACAAAGGATTAATATCCGGAATATATAAAGAACTTAAACACCTCAACAGCAAAACCCCCCAAAGAATCCCGTTAAAAATGGGGAAATGGGCCAGCCCGGTGGCGCACTGGAGAGTGCGGTGCTTGGGAGTGCGGTGGCGCTCCCGCCGAGGGTTCGGATCCCATGTGGAGACCGGTTCCCGCTCACTGGCTGAGCGAGGTGTGGGCGCGACACCGAGGGTTGCGATCCCGTTGCCAGTCCCCGGTACGGGCGTGACACCGAGGGTTGCGATCCCGTTACCGGTCAGTAAAAAAGACAAAAAGGAAAAAAAAAATGGGCAAATGACCTGTGTAGACATTTCTCAAAAGAAGACATACAGGGCCGGCCCCGTGGTGCACTCGGGAGAGTGCGGTGCTTGGGAGCGCCGCTGTGCTCCCGCCGCGGGTTCTGATCCTATATAGGGATGGCCAGTGCACTCACTGGCTGAGCGCGGTGCGGGCCACACCAAGCCAAGGGTTGTGATCCCCTTACCGGTCACAAAAAAGACAAAAAAAAAAAAAAGAAGACATATGAATGTCCAACAGATGTATGAAAAAATGCTCAACATCACTAATCATCAGGGAAATGCTAATCAAAACCACAACGAAATATCATCTCACCCCAGTTAGAATGGCTTTGACAAAAAATAACATGCTGGCAAGGATGCAGACAAAAGAAAACTCTTACACACTGTTGGAGGCAATGTAAATCAGTACAGCTATTATGGAAAACTGTATGGAGGTTCCTCAAAAAACTAAAAATAGAACTACCATATAATCCAGCAATCCCACGGCTGCATATTTATCCAAAGGAAATGAAATCAGTATTCTGAAGAGATATCTGCACTCCCATGTTTATTGCAGTGCTCTTCATGATAGCCAAGATAGAGAATCAACCTAAGTGTCCATCGACAGAAGAATGGATAAAGAAAACGTAAATATACACAATGAAACTCTACTCAACCATAAAGAAGAATGAAATCCTGTCACTCATGGCAATGTGGATGAGTCTGAAAGACATCTCTGAAGGATCCCCATCGAAGACCAGTTATTGCAAACACGGCATGTTCCTTTTCACCCTTAGCCTTCAACACATCAGGACAAACTGTCTCTTCTTTCCCAATAGCAGGGGTAGCATCTGTACTATATTGGACTTTGTTTCTACTTTTGGCAAAGAGAGTATGACTCAAACTACTGGTCAGTGCCAGTGAGATAAGTCCAATCTTACTGAAGGTAGCCTTCTCTGTGCTTTAAAGGACTCCCCTAACACCCTCCTGGGGTGTCCCATCTTCCCCGGCAAGAATCGTCACATCTGTGCTCTCCAACAACTCCAGGAGTTTCTTGGCTTGTCTCTCATAATTTGTCCTAACGATAGTCACATCCCACCAGATAAATGTAAAATTGGGGCAGCATTTCTTTTTTCAAATAGAGTCCTGGTTTGCACGGCTGGTCCACTCACGGCCTTGCCTTTCCTGCATGTTCAATGGAAATACTGATGCTGCCCTCAGATTCTGTCAGGGGCTTATAATTAACAATTTATTATATGTTTTCAAAGGGTTGAAAGAGAGGAGTTCTCAACACAAATATGATAAATGTTTGCAGTAATAAATATGCTAATTGACCTGATTTGAACATAACACATTGTATTTATGTATGGAAATATGACTCTGTACTACATAAACATGTACAATTATTATGTGTCAATTAAAAAATGATATGTAGTTGGAAAAATGAGGAGTAATAGCCTTTT